AAAAATAATTACCAAGGGTTGGGTGTCCACTGTGCCAGGCAGTTTTCACGCAATAGTTCAAACTAATATCCATTACAGATCTTGATTATGATTTGACTTTGGATTTAAGATACGAAGTCTCTTTCTGGAAAACTCCTGTTTATGTCGCCCCCCAAATCCCACATTTCACAGAGACCCCATCTCTGGTTTGTTGTTTGTATCACCTGAAGAGGGTCGTGTCAATTTCTGGCATGTATTCTGCTGAGATCTGGTCCCTCTGTTCAGCTCCATCTCTGCAAATCTCTGCACCTGTGCTTTGCTCTTGATCTCAGGGTCAAGTAGTCAGAAGGAAGATGGGTCCAGAACAAGTATTTCCTCTGCCTGGAATTACCTACTCCTTTTTGTCTTCTAACTTTCTCTCCATCCTTCCTCATCCTCTTCAAAGTCTCATTCCATGACCTCTCCATTCAACCTCTGGTGAATGTACTCTCATTCCCTGCCCTGTGTTCTGAGTCCAGTGCACACCCCCAGGGGCACCCTCGAGCTACTACACTGTGATCTGTGTTCACCGCTCTCTCTTCCCCTGTTCTTCTAGCATCAAGTCTCTCTTTCCCCATGGCCCCTGGAATCTAGGAGATGCTCACTTGACAAACTTGCTGCACTTCCTGGTGGCCCACACAGGTGGTTCCAAACTCCAGAAACGCCCTAAAGTTTTTAGAGCGCCTACATCAGGGATTGCCTCACTCCCTTCAAAGGGGCTAACTTTTGTCTAGGAGGGGAAAGCACTCTATTCTCTTCTGGAGTATTCTAGAACTAGTAGTTCCCTTAGAACTCCAGTATATCTAATACCTCACATCTATAATTTTTGTCAGTTGAGCTCAAAGTCTTGAGTTCTCTATCCTCGCTGTGCAGGACCTGGCACTCAATCTGCCCTCAGAGGGATGGTGGGGGCAGATCTGGTTGCTGCTAATGGCAGTAAGTACACTGCCCCCTGGGGTAAGAATGATATTCCAGGCCTCAGCAGATCGTGCACTGGAAAGCTGGTGGAGCCGGCCAGGAGAACTCAGGAGCAGGGGATACCCAGGGCACAGTAAGGCAAGTAGAACCACCAGGGAGTAGGGCCTCTTCCCCTAGGCCTGGGTGCGGGATTTTATGTCTTCTTAAGGGAAACAGACAAGCAAAATATTGGTCCCCAGTTTAGAGGGAAGGACTTGAAGGCATGTCAGGGCTCCGGTGTGAGGACTGGGATCAAAGGAGGTGGCCAGACTCTCAGGGAAGCCACGTGCTCTGTCCTCAGCGGCTGGACCTCTCTCCCTCCTCGGCTGAGCTCTGGCTCCTGCAGGTGGGGATCAATGGTTGTGCTGTGGATGGAAAAGAGATGAGGGGACAGAGGGGGAAGGCTGGGGAAAGGACCACTATGTTAAGCAAAAATGGACCAGGTCTTGGCTGTTGTAACTAGAGCTGCTGAGAACATTGAGGTTCATGGATCTCCTTGAAGTAGAGATTGCTCTGGATGTATGCCCAGGATTACTCAGCCATAAAAAAGGAATGAAATAATGCCATTTGCAGCAACGTGAGTGGACCTAGGGACACCATACTAAATGAAGTAAACCAGAAAGACAGAAATACCATATAATATCACTTACATGTGAAATCTAAAATTAAAAAAAAAGACACAGATGAACTTCTTTACAAAACAGAAACAAACTTAGATATAGAAAACAAACTTATAGTTACAAGGGGTAAAGGTGGAGGAGGGATAAACTGTGAGTCTGGGATAAAATGGATACAGAACACCCCTTCAGTTTTTCAATAAAAGTTTGAAAATCAGAAAGGACCAGGTTAAGCCTGAACAGCAAATGGAGCGTTTCCCCCAGGACGAACGCCGGCGCTGCTGGTGGCGGGGCCCGATCCGGGTGGGGAACCGCTTTCTCATAAACATCAAGGACTGGGTCCAGTTCCCCACCCTCTTCTGCTATTATGGGGCAGAAAGCTCCTTCCTGCCTGTGTCATTTCTTTCTTTAAAAAGATTTCCCTTCGATAGTCCTCTAATTATAGTCTTCTGGATTATTAGGAACTATATAAAAAGAAATTCTCATGGATCAATCAACATGAGACCCAGTTGCTTCAGTTATATAATGCAGCTTGGGTGAGGTAAATCACGGTTAAGTGGCTTGAAGAAAAGAAGGGCGATGCATTATTTTTGAGCATGAAGTGCTGGGGCCAAGGTGGGCTCCTAGGACGTGCTGAAAGGGCCAAGTGAACACTAGGAGCCGGGAGTGGGACAACCGGGGAGGGGCGGAAGGGGACAAAAGTCTTCATGTGCCAGTGGTGACTTGTCGACTTTCTGCCCCAAGCTCACTCCTCAGGGCTTCGCTCCGGGCTGCCAGGGCTGGGAGCTGCAAACCGTCTGTCTCACAGACACTTGCCAGCCGGCTTCTAGCTGAGGGGAGGCACTAGGAAGAGCCTGGAAAGAGCGGGAGGAAGAAGACACTGCCTCTCCAGCAACAGCCGGCAGCGCCTGCTCCGGCCTCGGCTGCCCGGCCCTGCCCGCATCAGCCACACCAGGTGCCTTTGAAGCACCCGCCCCATCTGGGGATGGAGGGCGGCGGGGGCTTCTGGTAGCGCCCCCCTCTGCTTGTTCCCAGTCTCAGAAATGCTCCTTGCTTTTTGCAGCCCCTAATGTCTGGGTTATCTCAGCAGACCTGGGGTGCTCTGTCAGCCTCCAGCACTTATGTGACCATCTCCCGGTATTAAACCTTGAAACGCCTATCGTGCTTTCGGTTTTCCTGAAGGGACTCTGGCAGTATCTAGCATTGTATTTCCTTGTCCGTGTATGCATGTTTTTACTTACATGTGACCAGATTCTAAAATATATCGGAAGAGGACCGAAAATCATCAACACAAGATTGAAAAAAAATTAACCCGAAAAAGGAAGTGTTAAGAATTTTAATCTGAGAAAAGAAATTTCACCTTTACACTGTTTCCTGCTTCTTTAGTGGGTGGGGAGAGGGAGCCTCGGGAATCTGGCTCTGTTACATGAGTTATGATTCCAAAGTTTCTGCAGAGGCTTGGCGCTGCAAAGGAGAAAAGGTGGGCAAGTCCGTTCTTTGTTCAGTGGGTCCTCATAGTAGTTTTAAGATCCACAGGGAGAGGGGCCTGGAGCTTCGCTGCACTGGCACTGGAGGGATGATTGCTTGCACTGGTGATTGGCGAGCATCTGGAGCTTATCCAGAGAGAGACCACTTAAAGGTGGAAGCAGGAAGGGCCTAAGGGGCCAGCGAATGTCTCGAAATGACCAATAAATCTAGAATACTGACATTTAACATTTGATTAGATTTTAAAAAATCAACTATGTAATGGATTTCAAAACATTGTTATACTCTAGTTGAGTATACCGTAATATTTACAAACTCTACATGTCCTCTTCTCTGTTTGACATGATCCAGATCTCACTTGACCATCTCAGATTCTCTCTACAATCATTTCTGCGTATGATAGTCAAGAATAATTTCTTTTTCCTTCTCAAGAATATATATGTATATAATATGTTTTATAATACATATATTATTTTGTAGTTTGTCAGTTACTTAGTAAAAGACAAGTAGAAATATTTTCCTTTGGCTTCTTATCTACTTTTTTTTTTTCCCCAGTTTCATTGAAAAATGGTAGACATACCTCATTGTATAGGTTTAAGCATGATCAACTAAATTTTAACTATAAAAGTGATGTACTATTATGAGCTCAAGAAATTTAAGACTACATGGCGTAAAAAGAAGAAACCATCCACTCTCCCCTTCGATCCCTCAGTCATATGGGCATCCAAGGAGATTATATCATATAGATTATTCACCCATTTTCTTTTCCACTTAGCAATATATCCTTTCAGTGCTTAAATGATATTCTTCATTATGGATGTAACAATGAATTATAATATTTACCAGTTAGTGGACATTTCAGTTGTTTTCAACTTAAAAATTTTTTTAATTTTATTTTTTGGGGGATAATTAGGTATTTATTTATATGGAGGTACTGGGGATTGAACCCAGGACCTCGTGCCTGCTAAGTATGTGCTCTACCACTGAGCTATACCTTCCTCCCCTTGATTGTTCTCAATTTTTTAAATTACCATAAAACATGATACTTTATGTCTTATCTCCTTGCACATGAGCAGGTAATTCTGCAGGAGAGAATCCTGGAGAGGGGGAGAATGCCAGACCCAAGAGAGGCAGGTATAGAGGTTAACAATGCCAAGCTGTCCTTACTGTGTTCTGTGCACCCTCCCAGCAGCCGAGTAGGAAAGCACATTCTGTCCCACATCTGAAGGTGGAGTGGATGTTTCAGATCTTTGAAAACGTTTTCCAGTCTGCTAGGCAACTCAGGCATCTTTGCATCTCACATTCCCAGACTGTCAGAGACGAAGAGCATCCTTTCACACACTCATTAGCTCACTGCGTTCCTGCCAAGGTAAAGGGAAACTGGTGAGTGATGGAAAGAGAGAGGCTGTCTTCAGCCATCTCTGAGGATGAGGGCAGTGATGCGAGGAAAAAAAGCACATGATTTGGAGACAAACAGATTCAGGTTTACCCTTACTAACTATGCAACTTTGGACAAATTCACCTCTCTGGTGCTGTTTTTTTCTACAAAACAGGAGAAGTAATGACATTTACTCTCTATAGGGTTGTTGTGTGAAATAAATGAATAAATTCATGTAAAGGACCTGCCTCAGCGGCCTGGCATTTAATCAGCATTTGAGCAATGAATAGTTTATAGGATGAACCCAGTAAAATGATATACACAGATGCCTTTTGACCATTTTAAAGGGCTATGAACACATAAGTTGATGTGAGTTTAACATACTAGCATCCATTTCTCATGGTGCACTGGACGGCTGTGAAATATTTGGGAACTCTCTTCGTCAGAGCTGGGAGCCTGGAATATTCTTGGAGAATGTCAAGTCACCTCCCACTTTCACTGATTGGCCAGTGAGGACCTTGGGGCTGGAAATGAGGAGGAGGCCAAGTCAAGAGTCAGGAGAGTTGGGGGAGAACCTCACTGAGCACAGGCAGCTGTGGCCTTCACCATGGCTGCATCGAGGGCACTTCTGACGCTGGAAAACTTCATAGGTGGAAAATTTTTACCTTGTAACTCATACTTAGACTCCTACGATCCCTCTACGGGAGAGGTGTACTGCAGAGTGCCAGACAGCGGAAAAGAAGAGGTGAGTGTATTCACTCAGGGAAGATTGAAATGTACTTAGCCTGTGAGAGACTTGATTTCCTGGGATCAAAGGAGATTGAGAAAAGGCGTAGAATTGTTAAACATCAGCAGAAGGAAGAGTTTAGTTCTAGGAAGATTTACTTTGTAATTGGGTACTTACCACACACGAAACAAATCTCAGATTTGCAGAAGCAAATCATGATCTAGGTAGCTTAACACACCATCACTGTTCTCAGACACGACTTAGTGGTTGCCTGGTAAAAAGCATTATTTGTAAGAATTATCAGTGTTACTACATGCTCCCTTTCCTCTACCAAGTGTTGCCTAAATTTGCCATTATATTCATGGATTCCCCCAAATGTGTTACTTCACTAAAACAAACAACATTTAAAAACCCAGGGATTTATTTTAGATTATCCTCTAATAATTCTTCATGTCTTCAAAATACCTAGGAAAGTAAAACCAGTCATTTAAATGGTGAAATGCAGAATCAAATTCCTATACATTTTTGGAGTTACATTTAACACTATCCTTTTTCTTACTCAGCGTACATAATGGCACCCACATTAAAATTCTTTTCAGCGATGTAGAATTAATATTATTGAGGAATTTTGTAAAATATTTGAGATATATTTGATTAGTCATCATTATTGCACAGAGAATGTAAATGTATTTGGAATGATAAATGTGGCTGATGGATATATACTCATCTAAAGCCTAACAGATTTTAATTTATTTTTTAAGGCACAAAGAACTAGATTATTTAAAAGCTATCTGTAGCCTTCAAATATAAATATTACATGCATTTTTTAAAAAATAACTATTATTTCTCTCTTGTTAATAATGTTTTAAATCTGTCTTGCATTAAAAAAAAACCTTTAGACTTGTGGATTAAAGTTTGCAAATATTGGCTAATTTGTTGGTTAAACTGTAACCTGAAGTTTTGTTTGCTTCAAATGACCTAGGATAGATGTGGGAAATCCAGCTTTGTGTTTTCCAACCCTCCTTGTCTCAGAGTGCTTTCCAGAGTAAAGTTAAAAAAGACAAATATGCCAAATTCAGGTGAACTTCTCTGCCGCTCAGGGCTCAGCCCTTTCAGAAGAGAGAATGAGGGATGGAGTTACAGGCTAGTAAAGTAAGAGAGTTTGGATTTCCCAGCAATCCAGCTCTCAAATATTCTGCCTGATCCCCCAAGTCCTAGGTTTTTCTGGCTTGAAAAATATGGTTACCATGCAAGCTACATGTCCATTTCTCCAAAAGTCACTCACTGAGCATCCTGCTGGTGCTGCCAGCGGGGCTCCCATTTGTTCAGCGTTTGCTTTGTGCTGTGCAGTTACTAAACAGCTTAATGTGAATTGTCCTAAATCTGGGTCGTAACAACCTAGAAGTAAGACTCTATCATCATCCTTATGTGACAGACCATAGTGTGTTAACACTCTCCTCTCTGACACTTAGATCAGTGATCATTCACACACACATGTAGGCGCACACCTGTGTTGGCACCTGCACTGCAGCCCTGCGGTCATAAGCATGGACTGCAGTCCGACTGCCTGGCTTCAAAGGTCAGCGGCTCCGCTCACTCCCTGTGGTCTTGACTTAGAGCTGAACCTCCCTGTGCCTCAGTCTCCTCACCTACAAAGTGGGGATAATAATAATACCTACTTCATAATGTCCTGAAGATTAAACAGACCAACATGTGTAGAGTCCCCTGTGTCTAGCAAATAGTAAATGCTACGTATTAGCTTTGCAAATAGTATTATACAATATTACAAGTATTGTATGATATATATGTATTATATATAGTAGATTACTATGTATTCTATATTAAGTGGACATAGGACATGTGACATAAGACAACTTAGAAAATATGACTGGACTTGAGTTTTCCGCTTTTCAAAAAGCTCAGTGTTTCGTTGCCAGCTGTAGGAAGATTCGATCTGCGCTGCCCCCTGCAGGAAGGCCCCCTCCTCTCGCTGGTGGCAGCAGGCAACCTGGGGCTGCAGCTCCTGGTGGAGGTCACTAAAGCCCCCGTCCCTCCCTTCATTCTGCCCGCAGGCCCACTTTAGAGATCTAGTTTTTGAGGTGAAACCACCAACTTTCCAGAAATTTATCAGTAGGATGAGAATCATTTTCAACTTCACTTCAGCTCAGTAGAAGGTGACTTTGTTCACATGAAGAAAACCAGAAGGAGTGTAGATCAGGCCTGGGGCGAGAGGGCAGCTGAACTGTCAGGTCACGTGATACAGGAAAGGTGTGCTGGCTGCCGGGAGCCTGTGGAAAAGGGCTCTGAGACTGAGCCCGGGCCCCGTGGTGGCAGAAAGCTGGGAGTGATAGTGAACGCTTGTCGTGCACGTGGGAGAGGAGAGGGTGGGACACGGGCCCTGGATTTGCCATCTGGGAAAGGCATTTGTTAGACATTGCCTCACAGAGGAGGAAGGCAGCAGACAGCCTGAAAGTCATTCTGTCTGCGTGAACTGGCCTGGCCGATACCTTCCTGAGCATTGTTTCCTTTCGGATTAAGCTCTAAAGCCAGGTCGCCGAGGTATGTGTTCAACCACAGAGGACCTCCTCTCCTACAGAGGCCTCTTCCATCAGGCGGAGCCAGGCCGGGGGCAGGCCAGCTGTGGTCTTGGGAGCCACACAGATCTGGGTTTACGTCCTGATTCTGCCACGTGTTAGCTGTGTGACCTCTGGCAAGTGACTTGAGCTCTCTGTGCTTCAGTTTCCTCATCTGTAAAATGGGCATAGCGCTACTCATATTATAGAACTTTAAAAGGAATTTAATGAAATAATTTGTATAAAGCACTTAGCACATTCCCTTATATGTATATATATATATATATATATATATATATATATATATTAGTCAATAAATAACTAATATGATGAGTCATTTCAAGTGGGAATGACAGTCTGGGATGTGATTTCAAACAAAATTTTTGATTTTATCAGAGATGTCAGGACTGGATTATGGGTTTGGAAATTCTACACACCTTGGCTCAGTTTGTTCTTTCATAGCATATTTTAAAAATTAGACATTTTGAAATGATTTAAAATGTATATCTGCTAAATTCAGTTAATGTCTTTCTTATTACCTGACTGCCACATCCTGGAGAGCTTGGTGCAAATGGAGCATTTTCCTTTGTTTTTTACGGTGCCCCTGCTTTGCTGATCACATAAACACCAATTTGTGGGTAACTCTTCACTGGGAAGTGTTGAATGTTTGAAGTTAGGCAGAAAAAAAAGTTAGGCAGATACAGATTTGTGGATTCCAGATTCATCCAACCCCTGGGGAGCAAGACTCTTAGGGCTACACTCTCCCCTCTCTCCCATCTGCTGCTCTAAGATTGAAGCCGCGGTGGAAGCAGCCAGAGCAGCTTTTCCAGGCTGGTCGTCCCGGAGCCCCCAGGAGCGCTCGCAGGTGCTGCACCAGCTGGCGGATTTGCTGGAACAGTCCCTGGAGGAGCTGGCTCAGGCTGAATCGAAGGACCAAGGTGAGACGCACTCACCCATCTCGAGAGCCACCTCTGCCGGCCTCCCCACCTCCCCAACACTCGCTGTCTCTAGCAGAGCCAGGAGCGTGCCCCTTCTTTCTGGAAAGTTTACTACCTCATCAGAAGCTGCCCATTCATACCCTCCTTCCAGGTTGTCAGTTGATTTCTTGCCTCTTAACTGTACAGCTGGAACACAGGACACTTGCTTTATGTCTCCCCTCCTAGGCCCACCTGGCTAAGCCAACCACGTGTTTTTCAAGGAAAACCAGCCCAGGCCTCTGCAGGTCGAGGCTGCAGCTGGCCCACTTCTGCCTCATTCTCATGGTCAAGGCAAGTTAAGGCCGAACCCAAGTCCAGGAGGCCGGGATGTCAATACACTGACTGTTTGGTGGAAGAAATGGCAAAGATGTAGAGCAAAGGCAGGGATATGGGGTGAGAGGAAGAGTGAGGGCTGCTCTCGCAATCCTCTACCGATTCTAAGCAGAGAGTTTCAAAGCAAAGGTCATTTGAAAAGCAGTCAGTCAGTTACTTAGAGTTCCAATATGACAGACACTGTTCCACTCCCAACACAATTTGCCAATTTTTTCGACTCCTTCCCAGAAGTCAGGGTGATGGAGTCAATGTCTGTAAATCTTTGTAATGATATCTGTTAGGAAAGGCCAGCATCTTTTAAAGTCATATACAGGTGTGCTGTCAAGCAGCCTAAAGTTGGGAAGCAGTATGGCTCCAAATCCTTAAGAAGAAAATGCTCCCTGACACTACAGAGTCTCACTGCCTCACTAAAGATAACTAAGGAACAGTCCAGGTAAGTTCCTATCTAGGATGTGTACTGGGCACGTGATGGGTGAGCAAGGACCACATGGCATCCTGGGCCGGGGTCCCATCACCTGTTCTGCCGCGTGTCCATCTTAATGACCCCATCCTGCGTTGGAGGGACAATTCATATCACCCCGTGTTTATCAAAGTGGTTTTTTTTGTGATGTGCAAATATAGCTGTCTTTACACCCATTATTCCAACCCCTCTGTAGCAAATGCAGTGATTTTGAATTGAAAGAGCTGGGGTGGACAGAGTGGTAGCATCTGCTGAATACATGACGATGGCTGTGAATTGTTCAGTCCACAAAGCGAAGATTATTTGATTCAACTGTAACCCCCTCGACATCATCTTGCAACCTCATACTTAATTGTTTCATAGTTTTATCCAACCATGATCAACACTCCCTGAGGCCAAGGAACACCCATCCCAGGATTCAAAGAACAGAGGCTACTTCTGTGTGAGTTAGGATATGTGTACGGTAGTATCTCCACTAAGTTCCAGGTGAAGTACACTGACTGGACCTTCTGTTGTTGGCTTCTTACAGGGAAAACCATTACACTGGCAAGAACCATGGACATTCCCAGGTCTGTACAGAACTTCCGGTTCTTTGCCTCCTCCATCCTGCACCACACATCAGAGTGCACGCAGATGGACCACCTGGGCTGTCTGCACTACACGGTGCGGGCCCCCGTGGGCATCGGTAGGTGCTGTGCTGTGAAAGCCTGGACCACACTTGCACACAGAGATGCTTGGTCAACTCTATAGAGCTGGTCTAAAGGAGCAGACTAAGAAAAAGGGAAGTAGAAACTTCTTCCACTTTATCTGAAACCTAGTTGGCCTTAAAAATTGAACTCTAGTTTATTTTCTTTGTGTCAAATTCCCTACTCATTCCTGGAAAATGGCTCTTGAGAAATCACAGGGGAAAGAATGATACTGAGAGTAAATTCACAAACCAGGACTTTTTTCCCTTGTAATTTTATCTTTATATATTTTATGTGGATTAAATAAATTAATAAGCATAGAGCACTTAGAACAGTGCCAGGTATGTGGTCAGTAAGCCTTGAGGTGAGGGAAGAGGGAAGATGATTTTACTTCCCTTGTTCATTTCTCTGCCTCCTGACCTTTAGAGGACATATATGTACCTGCCATGTGTCAAGATGTCCACTGGATGTCGCTGTTTCCTCTGAGAAATAAACACCAAGCCTACATATTTCACTAGTTACATTTTATGACAGGATAACAGAAAATACATTAAAAGGAAAGAAAATAGGACATTTTACTACTTTGATTATTTGAACCCTTCGGAAATGGTATTTTCAAGGCATTATGAAAAGCTCAGACCTCCTCCTAAGAAGGGTGCTAACAATATGTCATGCTGCAAAAATTGTCCGTTATCCCCTAGCGAGCAGATTCTTTCAGTGGGAAATTTAATAATATAAAATATGTTTACATTCATAGCTCAGGCTTGAGGGCAGAGTGTAAAATAAGGTGAATCCATTTACTCATAACATGAATCTTATTTTTGCGCCATTTTATGGTCAGCAGCCTGCTGGTTTCAGAATACTACATGGAGACACACTCTAGATGTTGGTTCTGCTGCTTATCCAGCAAGCTTATCTGGTCAGGTTACAGGTGAGAACTTGGAGAGAGTCTTTTTACTAAAAAATGCTCCGGCTGGCTAAAACAGATCTTACAGCCTCAGAGCCTATTTGCTTTTACTTTACAAGTAACTCTAAACAGCTTGAGATTTTATGTCTCAATCCACAAGAGTTTAAAAACAGAGATGAAGACACTTAGAAGAAATACTGGTGGGCTGTTTAATAACGAGAAGGGCTGCTCACACAATGTAAAGATCAGTCCGTAAATCTCAAAACTGATCACTTTCTGGAACTGTTTGGGGACCAGCGACCGCCTTTTAGTCCCAGAACTTATATTGCCATTGTTTGTAAATATAATTGTAAGTCATCAAGAAAGGGGTAAACGCCATTGATTCTAACTTTAAAAGGTACAGATGCTTGTAATACATTTTAGAGTTGTTTCCCTGAAGTTGGCTACAAGTTTGGGGTTTGGGAACAGTCATCTGAAGTTTCGGGTAGCATAAGGAGATTTTCATGAAGAACCCCCGCCTGGCACGTCTGCTTGGAGGGGCATGTCATTGCTGGCAGTGCTTCCCTTCTCCTCTGTTAGCTGGTCTGATCAGTCCCTGGAATCTGCCACTCTACTTGCTGACCTGGAAGATGGCTCCGGCGATCGCTGCTGGCAACACTGTGATAGCCAAGCCCAGCGAGCTGACTTCAGTGACTGCGTGGATGATGTGCAGACTCCTGGAGAAGGCAGGTAATAGGCGTCAGGGTTTGACAGAGGCGCAGGATTGGCTTTTGGGCTGTATGTTTGGTAGGCTTCAGCCACTTAAGGTCACTCACTGACATTTGAACCTTTTTTTTTTTAAAGTTTTTTTTTTATTTATTTTTTGGGGGGAGGTAATTAGGTTTATTTATTTAAAAAAATGTTTTTAATGGAGGTACTGGGGATGGAACTCGTGCTTGCTAATTAAGCACTCTACACTGAGCTATACCCCATCCCCCTTGAAATGTTATTTTGGATAAAATTCTGCTCACCAGCAAAACAGATTCCAGGGACACCTTTGGTTTCTGTCTCCTTGATCCTTTTCTGAGAAATCCCCTTCATCTGTGGGGTTCACCCCCACTGCTTCCTTTATCCATCCCCAGAACTGAGCTACTACAGGACAGTCCCTCCCTGCAGGGGGCTCCAGGGGCAGCACAGTGAGCACAGGATAGCAGTGCAGGAACCGGCTTAACAAGCTGATGAAATCCGACACCAGCCTGCTCCAGAGAGTGTCTTCAACATCAGTCTTATGATTGAACCACAAGTAAATCTTGATGAAAAGAAGACTATTGCTGGGTGCCCCGCTGGTTTGCACAGCTACAGAATACCATCGAAACAGCCCATTTTCGAGAGAATGGAATACACGTCGCTCCATTTTCCCTGAGTTTGGAACCGCTGCCGGTGGTTACACTACGCTGTTGTACGGTGGCTGCTTGCCTTCCTTCTGCTGATGGTGGAGTGGCTGCAGCCAGGGCGTGTTCCCAGCTTCCTTCTGGAGTGTTCAGCTGACACTGCACCAGGGTTGGAAGGTAGCAGGCAGGAGGCTCCACCTTGTAACCTACGAGGAAGCGCCTCATTGCTAGGTCCTCAGCCCCTGTCTCTGCCCAGCCTGGGAGGGGATGATGGGCAGGTGGTGGGGGACAGGCTGTCTTCCTGGCTCCGTCCATCTCTGCCTTGCTGGCTTCCTTCAAGCCCACTGAGGAAGCCTCTGGGCTCATTCAGAACCACAGACAGGGTGGTTGGTAAAAGTGCATCTCTCTCCCTGGATGCCTTTTCTCTCAAAGCAAAAACATACACATTGGCTTCCAGGAAAGCTGAACCCATTCTTTATCCAGGGTTTAGATGACATCTTAAATCATGCCTGTTTAGGGAGAGCATTGGGCCTGTGACCCTACTTTAGTCGCCCATCTCCTTGTGTCCCACGGAGGAGTGAGGCCTCCCAGCCGAGGTCTTTGGGATGATGTCGATGGATGCCCTAGGCCTCTGGATGGTGGAGGATATGAACTTGCCCAACCCCTTGAGTCCCAGAATGTGCCACCCTCCCTTATAGCAGTGATCACTTTCTAGCCCATTCTTTGCCAAGTTGAATCTCTAGTATCTGCAAAGGTCCAGGGCATTTCTTCTCTGCCTGTTAACAGCAGCTTCCCTGGTGTGAGACCGAAGTGGGGCTTATGCTCAACTTCGATGGATCCCATGTCAGGGAGGATGCACGAGGGGGTGGGGAGGGCACCACAGAGCCGTGTTCCAGAGACTTCTCTCTCCTGCAATCAAACACGTCTTGATCTATGATGCCTTCTCTTTTCTAACCGCTCTCCCCTCGCACATAACCCGGAATCTGGTCTGCATGAGAGCTTTATGTTTCTGTTTATTTACACAGCATTGCTCTTGTTTCTTATGAATGAATAGATTTATTAGACCAAGATGGTTCCTCCCTCCCTGGGCTGGCTTTGCCAAATTTTCCTCCACTGACAATCACTGAGAGTGTGATGGTCCAATTGCAGGTGATTTAAACCCTCAGTTTCTCCACTGGGACTGGGCGGGGGGTGGTGGTGTGTGAATCACATCTGCACAGCCCTGCTTTAGAGCACTGTGAGAGAAACTTTTAATAGTGTCAGGAAGGAAAGCTAAAACAACCTGCTAATGCATAACAGGTATTTCAGAAGTCAGTTCCTTTGGTCCTGAGTGTTCACGCCGTCTTAGCAGATGACCTTCTTTTGAAATAAAATCTTTTAAGATTTATTTAAGCACACCATGAATACCTCTTGGGCAGTTCTAGAATGTTTGTTTCTTTCTTGGAGGCACCAAATGTTTGCCCTCATTCCTGGAGTGTCCACTGATGGCAGGTTTCTTCCTATTAATTTTTGTTCTGCTCTATTTAAGCTTAACATTCTCCTTGTTGCCACATGGCCACATCCTGGCATTGGAGCCACCTCCTTCCTTTTGCTGCCTCTTAGCCACCTCCTCTGAGTTCTCCCCGATTGTTATCTGCCAACTAAACTGCCTTCCTTCTCTTATAAGCAGAACCTCTTAAGGGCAGAGGGTGGATGTCTCTAGAAAAAGTCCATTAACATCTGTATCAAATGGCAAAATGGTACTGAGACATACTGGCCAGTAGATAGCTCTTAATAAATTAACAGCCGGGCTCAAGGAAACACAATCAAAATGTTAATTCCATTGTGTGGAAGACACTGTCCGCTGCAATGAGCTCATTTTCCTAGGGTGATAAATATGAGGTGTTTCTGTGTTTCCTCTCACCCTTTGTTAAAATGGTGCTGTAAACATTAGAAATGATTGGAGCCATTTTTTGCCAGGATTTTTTGTCAGGATTTATAAAGCCCAATGGTCCACGTTCTCTGGCCCCCAATCCCCCGCTCAAAAAGATGCATGACCCATCCTGCAAATAATGGGAAACTTGTTCTTGTTTCTCCCCTCATCAATGGCTGGGAGGGTCTTTTCCCAGAGCTTCTTCTTTGCCCCAACCCAGATGCCAGCTGCTCTCAGACAGTGCCTGGCCCTGGGCCTGCCCTTCTCTGGCAATGACCTGTGTTCAGGACCCACCTAAGCTGGATTTCAGCAAGCGTGTGCTCTAAGTGCAGAGGTGGGGCTCTGCTAGACACCTTTCTCCTTAGGTGCTCACCTAAATGGGGCCTCAAGGTGATCAGGCGGAGGCTCTGCTCAGTGGGAAGTTCTTCTGGATGATAGTGGATCGTCAATGAGAACTTACTACTTATACCTTAAAAATGTATTCCTGAAGAGATGATTTGAATCTAAGAGAGTATGTTTCCTCTGAGAAGAGAGTGTCTAACCTGGAGCAAGGGAAACTAGGAGCAGGGAAGTGGTTACTTTCCAAACCAGAGGATTTCTGCACCTACTCCAGCTCAAGCCTGAAGCAGCAGCGGGAGTAAACTCAGCTACCTCCAGGCAAATCCTAAGAGCTTCCTGGTCATGACGAAATTGCACACAGGTTTTTTTCTGAACATGTAAATCTTCCCAAAGTCAAGAACCTTTTCTTCTTCTTCTTTCTTTTTTATAGGATTGTTTATTACTGCTGATTTTTTTCTGTTTTTTTCTTTTGGGGGGGTGTAATTAGTTTTATTTATTTACTTTTTTAATGAAGTTACTGGGGATTGAACCCAGGATCTTGTGCGTGCTAAGCATGCACTCTATCACTAAGCTATATCCTCCCCCAAGAACCTTTTCTTAACTGAAAATGTACACCAAGCATTCATTCATTCATTGATTTAACAATGACTTATTAACCTACACCCAGTTTTGCCTTTTACTGGTTGTTGCTTAAACTTGCTTTGCTTCAGTTTTCTGATAGGTGAAGTGAGGATGTTACTATTTGGGAAATCTGAAGGGTGTAACCCAGTTACAGCAATGTCTGACCCACAGTAAGCACCTAATAAATGTGAGCATTTATTGGTGTTTATTCTTAACATTTTTTATTTTTATTATTTATTCTCCTTAAAATTATTGTAATAGCATATATATACATATGTAGCATTCTATCTTCTTTTTCCATTCATTTATTTTAAATGTGGCGCATTAGTTTTTTTAAACTGATATTCATTCTATAAGGCAAAGTAGGCGGTGGCACGGGGGATACCACGGAGGCAGAACACAGATCCCACTTCTGCCCTCAGCTAGCTACCTCCTAGTGGTCGGTAGGTAATGAGCAAGTAAATCCATAAAACATGTAAATGGATACGTGCAGATTGAGAGCAGTAGGGTTTGTGATAGAAAAGATTGGGGCCCCTATCTGGGGTGTTCTTGGTCAGTCAGTCCTAAAGGGTAATGGTGCATCCATCTCTCGGGTAACAGGACCTTCAACTCAAATCTCACCTTCCTGGGGGAGCCCTTTGTCATGCCCTGGGGCCCGGTAGTCAGTCTCTTCTCTGGCTTCTGCAGCATTTACACTCCCCTCTACTTAACATTTGCACACTGAACTGTGACCCCTGGACGCCAGCTCAGAGCAGGGCTCTCCTCCCTCGCAGGGTCTGACCTGCCTGGGGATATGGCTGCATCCTCTTGAAGCCTAGTTAATACCCTGGAATGAATTATGTAGAATAGTCAACCCCCAGTTTTCTAGGGCAAAGCGCCTGGAGAAATCCCACCCAGGTGCACTATAGGCAGAGGTGATGTTGTAGTCTTTGCTCTTAAGCCAGAGAGAGCCATCCATATTGACCCCCAACGCCATTCAAGCTATTGGACTTTGAAGGGAAATCTCCATGTGGCCTGAAGTCTTTAACACACTGAGCAGAATGACTGTAACTGATGCTGCTTCCCATGCAGGTGTTCCAGCAGGCGTGGTCAACATTGTGTTTGGAACGGGGCCCCGGGTGGGTGAAGCCTTGGTGTCCCATCCGGAGGTGCCCCTCATCTCCTTCACGGGGAGCCAGCCCACAGCCGAGCGCATCACGCAGCTGAGTGCTCCCCACTGCAAGAAGCTCTCGCTGGAGCTGGGGGGCAAGAATCCTGCCCTCATCTTTGAAGACGCCAACCTGGAAGAGTGCGTTCCCACCACCGTCAGGTCCAGCTTTGCCAACCAGGTAGTGCTCTGGTTTATTTTTTTCCCCTTTGTTTATTTGTTTCAACTCTGTAGTTGAAGTAGTGCTGTCAAGCTGCATCTGTTGCACCACAGTGCAAAGCCAGCGGGGGAGCAGGTCAATGCAGGGCTATGTCACTGAAGGGAGGCTCGTTACATTGTGTTATTCCATTGACTAGCTGGTCAACCTTTTTTTTTTTTTTTGAGAGAGAAATTTCTGTCTTATTTTTCTTTTCTTTTCTTTTTTCCTTCAGCTTTTTAAATTTTTTAATTTTTGGGGGGGAATTAGGTTTGTTTGTTTGTTTGTTTATTTTAATAGAGATACTGGGGATCGAACCCAGGACCCCGTGCATACTAAGCATGTGCTCTGCCACTGAGCTCTACCCTCCCCGCTATCTGTTCAATCTTAATGCAGTTGGAGATCTTGCAGCATCACAGCTCCTGTTCAGCCAGCTCCTCTTCCTGAGTTACACAACTTTTATCAGGTACCAGCCCTGGGCCAAATGATTGCTTTTTTGCTTCTCTAAGCTTCTCCGTTCCTTTATTTATAGTTTCCTTAATCTTTTCTTGCCAAATGTCCTAGCTCCAAGAAATCTTATTCTCTTGCCCAAAAGCATCCCCAGTGCATTCTTACTTAGAAATAAACACCTGAGCCAATCTCAGCAGATTTCTTACCTGAGAGTCATAGACAAACCTCAGGGCAATCTCCGCATCTCTTGAAATTGTGTAACATGTTTTTCTGGGGCCCGTAATTTTCCTCAGATTCTTCAAGGCCATGCCACCCCAAAGGGTCAAGGACACTGGATCAGACATTCTAGACTGTTGCAGCATCACAGCTCCTGTTCAGCAAGCCTCATAAGGGGGGCAACTGTGGCTGCTTCCATGCAGCACTTTGTCTTCAACACCAGGATAGTGTCTGGGATGGAGCAGGGTGCATAAGTATGGGATGGTTTTCTCCAAAGGGTATGTGCTTTACAAATTTTAGCAGAGAACAAAGGCTTGAGCCAAGAGTTAGAGAGATGTGTGGAAGGAGACATATATTTACCTAACTTAAATAAGATGCATACCTTTCGGACCTGCATTCCTTTATCTGTAAAATCATGAAAGTAAGAATAATGATGCCTTCCAATAGGGATTTTGTGAGTGTAGAATGAAAAACATCCTTTACAATGATTATTTCATGATCATGTTTCTTTCACAGTAATTCCTAAAGAAAGTAGCTTAGAAATATATCTATATCTGTATCTATCTATCTATCTGTCTATCTAAATATATACACACAGAGAGATTTTTCTGGATCAATAAGCAAATTTTAAATTTCAGAAAATAAACAACAATTTTTATGATACTATTGGTTTAATCATCAAAATAAACCAATATCGAAGTGAACAATTAAAGCAGGCAGGGAAGAGACTACCATCTGCTCTGCGGCTCAGGCCAAAAGTCTGGGACACATCCTTGTTCTTACCTTCTCTTTTCCTTACACCTCAGTAACCTGTCAACAGGTCCTGTTGGTTCTGTCTTTAAAATATACCCGAATCTCATCACTCCTCCAGAGCATCTATGTCAGTTTCCTTATGCTTTGGGGGGGGTCCCATGACCCTGTAAGAATCTCTTGACCTTGGTGTATCCCTATCTTCATTTTCATCTCCATCAGTCCCGCCCTGATCCAAGCCAGCTCCACTTACCTGAACGTCTGGAAAGCTCTCAGCTCTCCTCTGTTCTCACTCCTGTTTTCTCCAGTTCTATTCCCCACACAGCTACCAGAATGATCATTTAAAAATGTAAATTCAGTCACATCATTTTGCTCCTGAAAGCCTCCCGTGATCTTTTCATGGTAACTGAGGATAAAGTGCAAGCTTCTTGTGAGCCTGTGAGATGCCGTGTGATGTTGCCTTGTATTCTTCACATCCTGCCTTCATCTCCTACATCCCTGTGAGCCACGTCCCTGCCTCCACCGCCCGTCTCTGCCCACCTCACCTCGCTGCCTTTTCTCACAGACTCCAGGCTCATTCCCGCGGCAGGTCCTCCATACTTACTGCTCAGAATCGTCTTCCTCCAGATCTTTGTCCATCTAGCTCCTTCGTATCAATCCAGGGTCAATTCAAATACCCCTGTTCACAAGGGCCTTCCAGAGCTCCCTTTAATAAAAGAGAGTAAAAGCTGCCCCCTCCATTAGGTCTCTATTCTTATCTTCTGCTTGGTTTTCTTGTATTGCTCTGGCCGCAACCTGAAGTTGTATTATACACTGAGTTACACTTGTGCTATTTATTGCTTGTCTTCCCCACAAGACAGTGTGTTGCATGTGGTGAAACTGCCTCTGGTTTACCACTGTGCCCCATTGTTTAGACCAGTAATGATACACGACAGGCACTCGGAAGTGCAGGGTGACCTCTCCATGAAGAAGGGAGTCCTCTTGTCTTGTCATCGTTCTCACATGTCATTCTTGGCAGGGGGAAATCTGCCTCTGCACCAGCAGGATCTTTGTCCAGAAGAGCATCTATAATGAATTTTTAAAGAGGTTTGTGGAAGCTACCAGAATGTGGAAGGTTGGCATTCCCTCCGACCCATCGGCCAACATGGGCGCTCTGATCAGTAAAGCTCATTTGGAGAAAGTAAGTAAACCCCTGCATGTAAGTGACAGAAAGAGTTCTTATTTGGAGAGAAGCTCAGAGCCAGGCATAGCAGCATCCATGCTTTGAAATACTGTTCATGACTACCCTATTAAAAAAAATAAGACCTGTGGGAAATTGTCTCTGGATACAGACTCTGAAAGGGTTAGAGACAAATGCAAAATGCAATCCAGGTTAAAGCAGTGTCTACATGAAATGAACTGGAGACGTCAGCATGGAGATACCACTAGTAAAGCGAGGAAGGCTGAGTTCAAAGTATAAAGCTCAGCTGATGAAAATGACTCGGACGTGGGGGAGAGGGTATATAGCTCAGTGGCAGAGCGCATGCTTAGCATACACAAGGTCCTGGGTTCAATCGCCGGTACCTCCATTAAGAAAGAAAGAAATAAACCTAATTACCTCCTACCACCGAAGAAAAGAAAAAAGAAAAACAAAGGAAGAAAAACAAGTGAGAGAGTGGCAGGGATTTCCACAGGTAAATGTTCCCAGTCAGTTCCCAGACAGTAAGGTTCCACATCTGGCTTACGACAGGTGGGGTTCTGGAAGCACGAACACACACAATTCCAACTGCGTGGTCTTGAGTTGGTGGGGTGACTAGTGGAGGCCTCCAAGGGAGACGCTGTTGATGTTCTCTGGGTGGCTTACAGAATTTAGGTCTTTAGGGTCATTTTAATTCATTGCCTGATGTGACTCCATTATGAGTCATAGAGTTTTGGAGTTCGAAGGACCTCTTGCTCAGCTGTGGTAACTGAGACCCCCCACCAAGGATAGTTAGCCAGTGAGAGACACAGCCTTCACTCAGGTTTGAAGAACTCTGACAGTGCACAGACTCGGCGGATTTACTGCATTTTCACTTAGACCTTCGCTATATTGTGAAGCACAGATGCCTGTAGGTGGGGCGGTGTAGCTTCTTGCTGGTCTCTTATTTCTCCTGTTTTCTCAGTGACATAGGCAGCAGGGTGAGGAGGAGAGGTAGTGCTGAAGGTTTCAGGAAGGAGGAGAAGGCATGCGATTGTCTTGCAGGGGATCAAGAGAGAGAACGGACTTTGAAGTGACTGTGTTGTCAGCAGGGCAGCTCCAAGGGCTCACCTGAGGCTTGAGGTCATTTATTTAAAGTGAGGTTGGCCGGCACGGCGGTGCTTCCCTCTGGTCACATTCACTGGCAAGACTGCAGGCGCACAGGCAGCAGCCCCCAGAGCGCCCACGGGGGACCTGTGGTTCTGGATGTCCTCCGCCTGGAGCGAAACATCACCATGTGCAAGAAGCTCCCTTGTCCTCTCTTGTCCGGCTGTTTCTAGACACCAGGCCTCCAGGTCTACCTGCCCCCATATGCTGATAAATAGTGAAAAATAAATTCTGCACGTTCCCAAATACTTCCTGTGGAGCAAAGTTAACTTCCCAGAAGCATCGTCCAGTAAGCTCGGGGCATGGTGCCATCTCAGGTCCCCTCTGCAATTTACCACTCAGCCGAGACTCAGTTCTCTCCATCCACTCAGCAGAGAAACTAGTTTCCTATCATAGGCACTGTCATAATAGCTTTTGCTATCCAATGAGAGGAGATGTATTAGTGAGGCAAATCAAAATGTTTGACTTTTCTCTATCAGCTGAATGATTTAGATCCCCTTTATGCATGTGCACATGGGTACACATACACACACACACACGCGCGCGCGCGCGAGCGCACAGATTCTTGTGTGTGTAAGAGAAGTTGATGCTGCTCATTGACTCCTATTGGTAGTTAGGGCTTTTCTCTGTCATCCTCTGAGTTTTTGTCCCTTGTGCCCCACATGGTGAACTTGGGCCAAATACAGGCTTGCCAGGTTTCAATGTATTGTAATTCCTGTGGACTTTAATACAATATTTGTGATGTTCAGCATGTCCCTGCTTGACCACAGAGCCCTCTCTTTAGCCTGCTCCCTGTCCTCCTCTGTGCTCCAGTGTAACCCTCCCACAGGCATCTCTGCTCTCCACAGCAAGCAGCCTCAGGCCACCTGAGATGGCCTGCCCCACACAGGCAGCAGGACCTCTCTCTACCGGGCTCTGGTTCCTTTTGGTGGAGAATAGTAATCAAGGCCAGCATCTGACGCTGTGGGTGCCCCTTGGAGGATGCCCCATGACAATGAGGCATCCAAGAGGAGGTGACTTAGAATCTGGCTGTGCTGAGCTCACATGCTGCCCTTTTAAGAAGTCCAGCTCGGAAACACGATACCTCATCTCAGAAAGCTCCAAGGTTCTATCGCTTCTATGGGGAAAGATTTTGCACAAGATTAAAAACAGTCTTTTTCACAGTTAAAAACTTAAAAAACGTGTTTATCATTGGCTATTTATTTTTATTTTTTAGGGAAGAACAAGAAAGATCGTATTTCCATTACTGCACCACATAAAACGGCGAGTAGCCACGGGGTTCCCCTTGTTTTGTGGTCCCGTAGGCAGATCCCTCCCACCTAGAGCAGGGCTCTGGATGCAAGGAGTCACAGCCCTACCCTCTGGGTCTCCCACCAGGTGTAGCCCTGGTGGGGGTCTTTCAGCGCTGGGCTGGTAAGGAAGCCCTGGGTGTCTCTGCCCTTTGAGAGGGAGCCAATGGAAGCGGCTAGAGAAGGCTACGTGTGTCCTTTCCAGGCTGTGACTCTTTTCAGCTCTGTGTGTCAAACCTTGATCTGGGATCAAGGAGGCAGTGGACACGCTCCACTGGCAGTCATCCTTCCTCGCCCCTCACCAGAAAGCTTTGGGGGCTGCGAGCCAAGGAAGGGCCGGCTGCCACCTTTGCATTCCAACTCTCTTCTTCTGTATCTTCTCCAGATCAAATTAGCCACAGAGTCTTTGTGTCCCTCCTACTTCTGTGTGCTTGTCACGACGGGTGGTGATGCAGTGACAGAAGAATCCGATTAGAGAGTGCAGAAGCTGTTCTGTCATGGCAAAGGGCTCCCAGGTGGAGGTGTGACTTCCTGGGCTCCCAGGGACTGAGGGGGAGGCACGGGAAATTACCTGTTTCACAGGGTTGCTTTTGGTTTTCTTTTTACTCTCCTGGATCCTTCCCACTTGACTGTCTGGAGAATCTGGCTCCAGGCCAGTCTTCCCAAAGATGCTAGAGAGAGAGGATTCTCAAGCGTTTCCAAGGAGGCTGGAGGAAACCCAGAGGAAGTTCACGGGTATATCCCCCAATAAGGCAGGGCTTCAGGCCGAAGGTCCAGTCTTGTAGTCTTTGTCCTCCCCTGTCAGGTATAAAAACTGACATACCAGGGAGGGGGGCATCCCTGAAATCTCCTAGCTCATGTCTGATCTTGCATTACATCATCTTCTTCACCATCATCATCACTGTCACCGTCAACAAAACAACACCGCTGACCTTCGGAAGACTTACTATATGTCAGTAGTACAGGAAGTAGTTTGCATATATTATTTCATTTGATCCTCTCAAGACCCTGTGAATAGGTGGCCCAGTCAATCCCATCTTTCTGATGAGGAAACTGAGGCATTGAGCATTTAAAGTCTCTGCTGGTAAGTGGAGGAACTGGGATTTGAGCAGTGCTGAGCTCCTGAGCCCACTCTTCGAACCTCTATGCTTTGATTTCATGGTCAAAACGAGTAAGGACTAATGACACTCTGCTCTCTCCTCCTAAGAAAAGGTTTTATAAGAATCTTTCACTGAATTTTATGGCATGTTCCCAGTCACAAGGTTGTTCTCTAGAGCTGCAAGTGTAGATAGAATTGTCATGTCATCCCTAGAAAATAAATTCAGTGTAGTGTGAGTCACCTTGTAAGTTCACAATTTGAAAACTGACACTTTCTTTTATATTTTATTATGCTAAGAGCTTCCAGAGATAATCATGTAATTTTGCCTAGACATGATCATCCACAGCCAGAGCGCCCCTTGCGCTGTTCGAATCACTGATTAAAGTCCCAGCCCTGCATCCGGGAGACTCACCTGCACTTGCCTTGTTCACACAGGATGCTGCCTCCGGCATCTTTTAATTAATGTCGGTGGGTTGTTTCAAAAGGAGCAAGACTGTAGGGGAAAGAGAAGTCCCGATCCATTGGAGGCTCTACCCACAAACTAGACCGGGGCTTTGAGATGATTGTGTGTACAGGAGGAGGAGGAATAGTGGAGTGGAATGGAAAGCAGTCCCAAATGTTCTACTTTTCAAACATCTTTGACTTCGTGGTGTATGAAGTGTTCTACAAATTGAAGCAAAATTAATAATGAAACATTACCTTTTAATTTTTACATGGCCAACAGATAGCTCTACCCTGACTAGAGTTGCACAATGGAGTACTACCCTAATACTGGGGCAGGACAGATGATAAAGGATATAAGTAGGATTCCAAAACATCATTCCAAAATTTACCCTGCCTTTGATGTATTACTTGACTGTTGTTTTACACTTTTAATTTGGGGGAAGACTTTTCTACTTCTCTTATTCTTGTAATGCCCCTCAAGGGTGGAATAATGTATTATTGTGACTTCAACATTTCCAAACATAAATATATATACCATTATTGTGAGTCATTTCTATAATCATTATTAATGAACATCTATCATTATCTCTGAGCCACTGGGTCGACTCATTGCATAATTTATTTCCCATTATTATGAGCTTTACTATATTACCTAGATATGTTTTTCCCAATATAATCAGTAAATGAGACAAGAAATTAGAAATTATTTGTTCTGGAGGCTCAGTTATTGAAGGGCGTCCTGGCCTTTCATTAAGTCTCATACACCGTTTGGCTTCCTATTTTCTGCAATGGATGTAGCGTCCCCGAAAGTGAGAGAACATTTTGTGTATTTAACGACTTGTGTATTTAACGTATATCTGAGTGTGAATCCCAGCCCTCCTGTTTATTAGCTATATGAGGCTTAATTTTATCAGCAGCAAATTGGAGATAATAATACATAGCTAATAGAGTTCTGAGCAAATTCAACGAGAATGTGTAAAAAGTGCCTGGCACTTAGTCATGAAATAAATAAAAGACTTTCCTCCCCTTACCCATGAGAACTGAATACCCAGCTAAGTACCCGGAGCACTTCTGTCCTCAGGCTCAGCATCTGACTGAAAATTGAATCAAGCTTAGATTTGTTTTGGGAAGGGCAATGACCTTTTACATCTTCCTTAGATGCTTCAGAAATACTGTATTTTCTCTGCTTGGTGTGAAGACAAATGATAAGATGCTACTATGTTTTTTTATCCACTCAGGTCAGAAGTTACATCAAGAGAGCTCGCATGGAAGGGGCCCAAATTCTGTGCGGTGAGGGAGTGGATAAGTTGAACCTCCCCCCCAGGAACCAGACAGGGTATTTCATGCTTCCCACGGTGATAACAGACATTAAGGACGAGTCCTGCTGCATGAAGGAAGAGATATTTGGTCCAGTGACGTGTGTTGTCCCCTTTGATAGCGAAGAGGAAGTGATTCAAAGAGCCAACAGCGTTAAATACGGGCTGGCCGCGACGGTGTGGTCAAGCAACGTGGGGCGTGTCCACCGGGTGGCAAAGAGGTTACAGGCAGGCTTGGTCTGGACAAACTGCTGGCTCATCAGAGAGCTGAACCTGCCTTTCGGGGGGATGAAGAGTTCGGGGGTGGGCAGAGAAGGAGTCAAAGACTCTTACGAATTCTTTACTGAAATCAAAACCATCACTGTTAAACACTGACCTTGGCCAATGCACAAGCTGTTACAGTTGATGCCTGGCTGCAGAGAATCAGTCGTCCAATGCGGTGAACAGAAATCCTGGCATAAACTCCAGCCACATCTTGACTCAGCAGAAGCTTGTCTCTCTAGCTTATCTCCGTAGTTAGTATTTTTACCCTCAGGTGAAGAGAGACTGTCTGTCTTCAAGGAGGATGCAAAGAAAAGACTTCCGAATAGGAAGGCACAACAAGGAATCCAAGCAAACAGCAGGCTCCTCCTAGGCTGTGTTTTCATACTATTTTTTCCATCATTTTGATTCAATTCTTGGAAATTCACATTTCCAAGATAACCACAATTTTTTTCATTTGCAAGTATATGGTTAAAAAAAATCTATGAATCACCATAATTTCCTACTTTGGAGAGATTGTCAAGATGGTCTCCCTCTCCATCAGCCACTATGGCTAATTGGTAATTGAAGAGGCTGCACCTCCTTATCCAAGGGGCCCATGAATGTTGATGATAAATGTTACGTGAATTTGTTGGAGAAGATATTTATGGTAGGTCCCACTGAATAACTCTGTATAAGGACAAATTAAAATAAAATAGCTACTGGGGGGGGGAGGGTAATTGCTCAAGTGGTAGAGTGCATGCTTAGCATGCATGAGGTCCTGGGTTCAATCCCTGGTATCTCCTCCAAAAATAACCCTCCCCACCCCCAACAAAATAAAAAAAAATTAAATAATACAATGATAAAATAAAAAATAAAAAAAAATAAAATAGCTACTACTTTTGGAGGAAACTTAGAACAAGGAGAGCTTGATCCAGTCCTACTGTGGAGTCTAAGCAATTCTAATTCTTCATGTATGCATCTCATGAAATTTAAAATTTACTAACCCTAAAGGAAGCAATAAATGTTAAGCAATTTTAGTAACCAGTATGGCATACACCCTCTTCATGAGTTGTCCTTTATTCTTCCTTATCTTCACCCTCTTAGGAGCATGGACTTTTTACAAAGTAACAGTGATATTTCTAGCATTTTTTCCCCCTGAATCTCCCAATGAGCAAAGGAGAAATCTGAGGTTTATAGAGATTAAGTAGCAAGCTCAAGATCATAAAAATGGTGTGGGGGCAGAGGAAGGATTTGAACCCAGGGCTCTCAGACTCCACACTCCACAGTCTCTGACCATTCCGCACTTGCCTTGGGTTATGCTTCAGAAGTGAAGTCCTTAGGGTTCATGCACCACATTACATTGGGTCTCCCCTCCTTATCTCCTTCTGTTTTGCCTCTCCCCTCCTCTCTCCTGCCTCACTCCACCCAGCCATGCAACCCAATCCACGCAGCCAGGAACACCTCTAGTACAGCCCTTTCCACACGAACTGAAATGACCTGTTTGCATGTCTCACTTCCTGATGGGACAGGAGTTAACGAAGTCCAGGGCAGGTGTTACTCTTCTTTGAAGTCTTGGTTCACAGCACAGTGCCTGGGTACAGAAGGTGCTCAAAATGAGTTCTGGGATGGAACAAAGTCCTCCTGGGGCTCTGGGGTATTTGTTGCATGGTGTACAGATGGGGTTGGTTCAGGGTGTGCAGAATAATCTTTATAATTTTGTGTAGGATTTGGCATATGTTGGCTGGTTTACAAATGCTGAAAAATATGTCTCTTTGAGATCAAGTGATGGTGTCAGGTCATACCTGGCTCTTAGCTTCTACCTCCTCTCCCCTCTCCTTTCCTCGCTCTCCCTCTCCCCTAGCTGAGTTCCCTTGACTTTGAACAGTTAAGTCTAGGAGCAGTTCTGAGTGTCAGCAGGAAGAATTTCAGTAGCTTCAGTCTCTAATAATCTGCATCCTCACTCTTGTATTGGTCTGGCCCGACCTCATCTTTATTTCTAAGACCTAAGCCCTATGCTGATTCCAAATTCTGGCAACGGAACCTCTTAGCTCCCTGTGCCTGAATACCATCTCCCACCGCACTGGTTTTCTGCGTAAGAGACTGCTCCTTCTAGGACTTGGAGCCAGCCCTTCTCTGGTCACTTCTCATCTGGGCCCTGGATCCCACCTTATGGAAGGGCCTGCTGCCTTCTGGCAGACATTCTGGATGCCATCTCCCTGCTTCTGTGTCCCTTGGGGTCCCTGGAAGCTCCCCCTGCGCTCACACGTCAGTCCCACTGGTGCATATTTGACCAGATGGTGTTCTCCTTCACCCCACACTGTCCCATTTCTCAGGGACATCAGCTATAATGTCTTAGATAGACCTTGCCTCATCTGCTCTATCCAAAGTGGGTGAGTTCAGCGCTAAGGCCTTACTTCTTCCTGGCCATCTCATGCAGACTCAGGCCTCACATCAGCTAAGGGAGCTGTCTGGGTCTGTGCCTGCCCCACGGCTGAGTCCCACCAGATCTATGCATCTGTGGCCACAGGACTGTTGGGGGCCCTGCCGTGTTGTGCTCAGAACTAAAATAAAGAAAATCAGGGGAAATGGTCACAAGGATTTCAATCCTACATGTAACATTTCATTTTTAAGCTGGATGTTGGGTGCTTGGATGTTTCCTGTACAATTTCATAAGTAGGGAATACTTATATACCAAAGGGAGGGTGGCTGATAGTGAAGGACAATCCGGAGCATGTGCAGGAGAACGCTGACAGGAGGTGGAGCCGCTTCAACCTCCAGGCTCCAACATCAGGGACGGAGAGCCAGGGATGGAGGACAGGAACAAGGACCTTGTGGAGCAGCGCTTCTCAGACTTTGACATGCTTCCAAATCGTGAAGGACTCCTGTTAAAATGCAGATTCAGAAGCTGTAGGTCTGGGGTAGGACCTGATTGCACTTTGAGGGTGGAAGGACTTAGAAGAAACTTTGGAAACTGCTGGCTGAGGTGCCCCCTCCCCACTTCCCAGGTCTCCCGAGCAGCTGGAGGTAGCATCAGCTCCTGCTGGAGACAAAGGAAGTGTTCAAACACCGGGAGTAGATGGCCCTCCCCAGGAGGCCTTCCAGACTGCAAAGAATAACTTTGCTAAATACTTAAAATAATCAACCAATGTGTTTTTTATTTTAAAATATTACTGATCAACCAAGGATCATCAAATATTTGGTAGAAGAGAAATACCAAGATATGTGACAGAGCAGCTGACCACCAGAGAAACATAAAAGAAAGAAGACAACAAAAACTGAATTAGCATTCTCAGAGAGGTTTCAGAGGATAGTGGGTTCACACACAAGTAGAGGCTACTATGAAAAAAGAGCAAGCACAGAACATGAAAGAAGCCATGAAAAATTAAACACTGGTTCCCCAAGTACATTTTAAAAATCAGTAGAATTGAATTACTGGTGTGACTGAAAACTCAATTAGTAATCTGGAAGATAAAGTTAAGAAAACAGCTCAGAATGTAGAGAATGACAGAGGGGAAAATATCCAAAAGTTGAGATGGAGGATAGATCTAGAAAGCTATTAATATGTAACTAATCCAAGATCAGAGAATCAAGATGAATAATCAACCAAATAAAAAAAGATAATTTCCCTAAACTAAAAACAGATTTTCAGATGGAAAATATTCACCATGTGCCAAGAATTGTTCTGTTGAAATTTTGAAATTCCTGGTATAAAGCTTGCAGACAGAATTACCAGGATACTTACAAAAAACTAAAGAACCAAAATACACATACATAGAAACAAAAAACCCCAGAAGATTGTCATCCCATTTTGCATTAACAATTTTGATGCTAGAAGACAGTAGAGTAAGAATTCAAAGTTCTCAGGGAAAATTATTTTGAACCTAACTTAAAGCCAGCAAACTGTTACTCAAGAATTAAGGCAAAATAAGATACCCAGAGAGTTTCTCCTATTTACTCTTCCTAGAATAACTGGGGATGTAATGCAGGAAAAGGAAAGCTGAATCCAAGGAACAGAAGAACTGTCTGAGGAATAAAATGAAAAGAAGTTTCAAGTTGTCCCAAATAGATGGAAAGATATACTGTGTTCTTGGATTGGAAGAATCAGTATTGTTAAAATGACCATACTACCCAAGGCAATACAGATTCATTGCAATCCCTATCAAATTACCAATGGCATTTTTCACCAAACTGGAACAAAATTTTTTAAAATTTGTGTGGAAACACAAAAGACCCCAAATAGCCAAAGCAATCTTGAGAAAGAAGAATGGAGCTGGGGAAATCACGTGCCCTGACTTCAGACTATAGTACAAAGCTACAGTAATCAAAATGGTATCACACGAAAACAGACACATCGATCAATGGAACAAGATAGAAAGCCCAGAAATAAAAATATGCACTTATGGTCAATAAATCTATGACACAAGGGAGGTAAGAATATACAATGGAGAAAAGACAGTCTCTTCAATAAGTAGTGCTGGGAAAACCGGACAGCTACATGTAAAAGGATGAAATTAGAACATTCTCTAATACCACATATAAAAGTAAACTCAAAGTGGATTAAAGACCTAAATGTAAGACTGGATACTATAAAACTCCTTGAGGAAAACATAGGCAGAACACTCTTTGACATAAATTGCAGCAATATTTTTTTGGAACCATCTCCTAGAGTAATGGAAATAAAGGCAAAAATAAACAAATGGGACCTAATTAAACTTAAAAACTTTTGCACAGCAAAGGAAGCCATCAACAAAATGAATATACAACCTATGGAATGGGAGAAAATATTTGCAAATGATATCACTGACAAAGGATTAAGTTCCAAAATATACAAACAGCTCCTACATCTTAATATCAAAACCAAACCAACCAAAAACAAAAACAAACAATCTAATCAAGTTGTCAGCTGCTAATCAGGCCTAGAAAGGAATTGGCCCAAACTAGAACAGGGAAGACGGGAGGTAGTGATTGAAGAATACTGATTAAAAAAACAAGCCTATGTTTAATCATATGGAAGACCTTAGGTATGTAAAAGATACACATGTGGCGATTCTATCCATTAGAATAAAGGAAACAAAAAACTATTCAGAAATCATGATAAGATGAAGCAAAGTGAAATGTGACCCAACTTGGAATATTAGAAGGAGTGGAAGTTAAAAAAAATCCATTTTCCCATCATTTTTTGTATGGCTATTTTTGGTAACATAAAGTCACATTTCTATCATTAAGGGCCTTACATTACTACTTGATACTGCAATTAATATTTATATATTTTGAATATCTGAATATCTGTTACTGATTTTCAACTTTCCAAGTCAAACTATTTTGGAAATGTCACTCTATTAACCTTGGAAGATGCCCCCAGTGCCCTGGGCGCTGCCAGTCAGCCCAGCAGGAGGCTCTAGAGGGGCTGACCCTGGAGAACCCTCCTCCCACCTAACTTGTTCTTTCCTTCCTGCCCGGACAGGGAGGGTGACAGGCCCTTCTGGGATAGCTCACCCGCCTCAGGCCATCCCCACCGGATGCTTCCCTAAGCTTGAACCCCCACAGTTAAAAGAAATCTCCAAAGCCTGTGGTCCTTCTTTGCTTTGGATTTGTGTTTCTCCTGGAAATTTCCGGTGTCCTTTTCTGGGGGGTGCCTGAAGCTTCCTGCGACCTCCATCCAGTTGGGTGCATCTGCCTCTAAGATATCCCAGCAGTGAGCCCCTCA